ATAGATGTGTGCAGTCCTGGAGTGTCAGGGAAAAGGTGTATTTTAATTTACTTCTGTGGAGTTTTATTTCTTTGCTGAACTCTACGTTGCTTTCTTTGTAGCAATGGCAGCCCAAATGTGGGGTTTCCAATGCCCTCCCTCTTGTTGCAGCACCATCCTTGTTCAAGGTCTTCATTCTCAGGGACCTGTTTGGGTCCCTGGCCATGGACTGAGCTGGATGAAGTAACAAACCTGACAGAAAAACAAGTTCTCAGCCCTCCCAGATGCATCAGGACTCTGTTTTCCCAACAACCCCATGCATTCCTGTGCTATCAGACTATATGGTTGGAAAGGCACCAGAAGCACTTCTAAATGAGGAAAATGGGAGGTTTTAATACCTGCTGTCTCTACTGCTCTGGTGGAGAGCCCATGTCCTCTGTGTTGCTGGGTAATTGTGAATACTTGTTTGAAAAAAAAAAAAGAAAATAATCTGCTGGACTGCTGACAAAGATCTTGTCAATCTTCTCATAGGATGTATATTTTGAAGAATGGAAGCTCAGGTTTTCATGGCAAGCAACCAATAACAAGAGTTAGGGTCTGCACATGGTCAGAGGTCAAATGTAGAGCTGCCATGTTTTTTAACAGAGCAAGATTTCTCCCCTGACTTCAGTGCTGCTAGACCTGAGCTGCCAAGAGAGAACAGGAGGTCCTGAGGAGGTTGCCTGAGATTACCATGAAACTTAAGGTGTTGAGCTCAGTGGGACCACTGAGCACAGGTTGCCCAGAGAACTGGTGGAGTCTCCATCCTTGGAGAGATGTAAAAGCCACCTGGACACAGTTCTGAGCAGGGTGCTCTTAGGTAACCCTGCTTGAGTAGAAGGGTTGGATGAGAGACCTCCAGAGGGCAAACAATCTCAGACATTCTGTGATACTCATGAATTTTCCCTGCCCAGCCTGTGGCCATGGTTGCATGTTCATAAGACTCATGTTCCTTTGTCACAGGTCAGAAGCAGGGGATCATTGGCTGGCATAAAAATTTTCACTGTGTTTAAGTATTCTGGGGATTTAAATTTATAATTGTGATTCCACATAATGTCCAACTTCATATGGAAAAACCTCTTTAATTTTTCAGTTTGGTTTAGAATATGTTAATCCATTTTGTTTCCATTATATGTTGCCATTGGATAGTAATGGCTTGGTTTAATTTGTGGCATTATTTTTTAGGAAATTGTCTTCACCGTGGAAAGCTGACGTGATATTATGGTGAAGCAAAACCTGCTTTGTCCAGGTTGACATTTTAAGTCTGGCTGCTTTCTGTATTGGCTGATGTGTATGGAGGGATAGGAAAGGAATTAATTTTGAGATTCATTGAAAAAGCACTGTTGATTTACGCCACACATTCAGATAGGTTTTTCAGTATTCCGTTGAAATTTCAAGACTTTCAGGAGAGACTGAAATAGGGTTATTTGTCTGTAAAGATAGATTCATTATGTTATTTTTTCCCAGCTTCCCGCTACTGATCTGCTCAACCGCCAGGTGCAAGCAGCCACTGATGTCTGATAGTTAATAAGCATTTGCTAATTTGCTAATCAGCTACTGCAGAATGCAGCTAGGGCCAGACACAGCAGTGACAGCATAGCAGCAGCTGATCAGGAGTCTTGGAGGTAACTGGTTTTCTCCTGGGAGGGGAGCAGAAAGAGGGCTGGTTAGCTGCCTGATGGTAGCTGTGATCTGAGACGCTGATTATCTGTGGTTAGCTGTGGTGACTTTGTCATTCAGCATAAATGGAGCAGCAGTGGTGTGATCTGGAGCTGGGATCAAGTAGAGAACTTCATTTAAAGAATGCTGAGCAAGCTGTAGACAATGAAATTGATCAGATGCAGTGAATGCCACTGCAATCCCCATGGTTTCTGCTTCTCTACTAGCTTTTGTCTGATGAGATAGGAACAGGGATGCTGCTTTGCTGTGGTGCTCTCTGCTCCCCATTTCACACCTTGTCTTTGCCTTAAGAAATTCCCAGGCCAGCTGTCTCTGGGCTGCCTGGCATGTAGATGCCCTTTTACAAAACTATAAATTCTAACCTGCCTAGAGGAGCTCTTTAAGAGATGTTATTAGCTTAGTTAAAGTGGATTTGACATTCTTTGAACAGAAGTGTTATGTGAGGTTGATGGTCTGTATTCCTGTACTTCTGCTTAGAACTTGAAATTCATCTCTGCCCATGCACGCATGGTTTGTTTTCAAACGCTTGCAAATGAATATTTGATGAGGTAGCTGTGGCCAGTAGCTGCAGGATGGCCTTTGATGAGCTGCGTGGCCAAGCGGCGTTGGCTGTGTTGGCAGAGCCCTCTGCTGGGAGCACAGCCTGTGCCAGCAGCAGTCGCTCCTGCGGCCAGCGCCACCCGCTTCTCCCAAATGCCAGCAGCCAGACCCCTCTCGGCTCTGTGCTGTCCCACCAGCTGCCTGCTCCAGTGCCCAAGGGGCTCCTCTTCATCCCACAGAGCCTCTGGAGTTCACTTGACCTTTTTTAATTATTTTTTTTTTCTAGCAAACCTGGTGGTGGGCTGTAAATGCTTATATGATTTTAGGTTTTGATTTGCAAAATACAGTGGCGCTTTGAGAGTAATAAAGTTAGCCAATTACAAAATAATGTTTTCCTAATCCTAATCAGTGTGGGAGAACCATGATGAATTTCAAAAATTGCATGTATGGATTCCTGTCTGAAAATACCTTTTTTAAAAAAAGTACTGCTTAGTAAAACTAACTGATCTAATTGGGCATACATGGGGACATTGCTAAATCAAGAGCCGCAGCTTTCCTTTTTCATTGGACAGTAAGGCTTCTGCTATTCAAAGTATTAGAGGAAACAGCTTTTGTGTGATAGAATAGTAACTTACTGAGCATGAAGGAAGAATGTTATTACTCTTCTCTAACCTATTATGTTCAAAAGCCTGGTTAGGACTCTAGATGCATTGCCAAACCAAACTGTGCAAAGAGGTATTTTAATCTGGTTATGTCTCTAAAGTGTTGATATAATGCAGGCCAATAACTCTACTGCAGGAAATCCAGCTGTTTGAGATTGTTGCACAAACAATGCAGTAGTAATAAAGGGTCTTTTTTTCTTCTTCACATGCTGGCCAGAGCTTTTCACTTACCATTGATTTGAAACACTCACAACTGTGCCCAGTATTTTATCTTCATTAAAATAAAAAAAAGAGGAACATGTACCATGGCTTAGAAAAGGCTGTTGCCTGTGGTGGACAGGCCCCCCTTCTGATGAAGCTGAAGAGTGGAAGAAGTCAAAGGCAGTCATGTTTCTGTGTCATTTGATTTGTTTCATGATGAAGCTTTCCTTAACATAGACATAAATTCTTTCAAAAGCTAGGTTTACCTTCCTGGCCTATATTTGAAATAACCAGTTTCACCTTTGCTTTGAACTTGCTTGCTCCATTGCTGGGGTTCAGCAACACAGAACAGCTCTGTTAGGGGACCCATCATGTGAGTGGCATGATGGAACTCCTTGCTGCAGTTTGTTGTGAATTCCCAAAGCTGAATATTATTCAGAAAGAAATTAAACACACCTGTGAAAGGAAAAATCACCAGTATGATGAGCTGTAGATATTGCTTTTGAAAATTCCCCATCTGCATCCAAGGGAATGGGCAGGAAGCGCATGGCTGCGTGTACTCACACTCCTCCTACTTAGCATTGTGTGAAGGCAGGATGAAATAAAGGGGACTCCTTAAGGAAAAGTCTGGTTTTGTTGTGGTTTCTGTAACCCTCGGCTGTTGGCTGGAGAAGCCATGGTGGGGGGAGGACCAAGCTCTTCATGGTGGATGGGGAGTCCAACCCTCCTCCTGCATCTTACAGCTGTTCTTTAAGGGATGTTTTCAGCTGAACCTTCCATCTTACCTGCCATCCGATCTGGCATTTTCCATGGCCCAATGCCTTTCCTTACCTGTAATGAGAGTTTCACTGGAGGCTTATTACAATTACGCATAGGAGACAGCACACAGGGGTTTTTTTCCTCTTTCGTGACAGCTTCTTCTTCCTGTTTTTCTTACAGCATTTTGGTTAGAGGCTTTAATTCTCTGGCAGATGGTATACAGTATGTTTTTCAAACCCTCTACCTTTTGGGTCTAGGATACACTCTGTTCTCTGACTGCATAAAGCTGCTAAATAGCTATTTTTTCTAATTTCTGACTTGAAATTCCATTCCATTTCTATTGCACAATGTCATAATGATTCAGCTTTGTAGAATTCTGCCTTACTTCTGTAGGTTATCTTGTCCCGTGCTCTTTTTAAAATACTAACATGCAGTTTTAATCCTGTGCTGCAGCAACCCTTGTGAGTTGTCTGTTTTAACTCAGGACTTCAAATATAAATGTTGCTTTAACATTACACGTAGTTATCTCTAATCTGAGAGTCTCGTAGCAAAATCTGTTGCAGAGTTCATCCTCTTTTGTCTGTGCTTTTTATTTCAAACGTGTATTTTGTTGAAAAGTGGCTGATGATATAATACCTGGATTTTTTTGATAATCCGTGCTTTTCTAAAGAACTTAGTGAAGTGTAATATTACCATTCAAATAGGCAGGTGAGAGCCTCGGAGATCAGTAATTTGTACCTTTTCAAAAGCCGCACTGCCTTGCTTTGTCTTGGAATTTATTATGCTTCCCAAGTATAATGTGACATACTGAATAGGGCAGGGGGTGGGGACATTGTCTTCAGCTGACACGCTGCTATCAGCGGGACTGTGTTTCTGGACACAAGATTTCGCAGTCATTGGTTGTCCGAAGAAAGCCTTTCCATCTGAGGATTGGACAAGAAGATGCGTCAATTTGCTGCCCGTCTCCAAGGTACTGGTGATGCTGCCTCCACAAGCTGGCTAACGTCACAGCTCCATCACCCAGCGGGGTGTGGGCTTTTTTCTCCTCTTCTCTGTTTTAATTCTGTATTTGCTTCCTACTGCATTTCTTAATCTGTCTTCTGCCAAATGCTAACAGCATGATATTTTGCAATCATTTAGGTGAATACAAGAAGGACGAACTCCTGGAAGCTGCTAGGTGAGTGCTGCTTAGAATATAAAACATATTTTGGGGGTGGAAGCAGGCGAGGAAAAGGGGTTTTTAAAATAGTACTGTTTTGTCATTGCCTTTCCATGAAATGCTGCAAGCAAACCACTTAATTAGCATAAATCTCTTCAGACTTTAGTCTGGTACAAATGTAAAAGCCTGTTTATGTAATTGAAATCCCCCACTATGGTGGTTATAAGGTTAATATTGAGTTTTTGCTTTAAGCTGCTTAAATCCTCTTTATTGTTTTGTGACTGTTCTTTTTAGGGGCAATTTAAATATTGGGATCTTTTTTTTCTTTGGGTTTTTACTGCTACCGTAGGATGTATTTTGAAAATAGGTTTTATCCGAACAGAGCATAAGGAAGCCTATACAAAAGGTGTAAAGTTCAATTGTATATTGCAAAGGTGCTTTTCATCCTTCCTCCTGACTGCACAAGACCATTTTATATAGCCTGTTAACCCTTCTAAAAAAATTTTCTGGGTATTGGTTTATAGCTGTTTCAAATGTTGTGGGCCGTATGCTATGAAAATATGTTAAATTCAGAACATTTATTTTGACAAATGATTTCAGAGGATCTGTAAAATTAGAAAAAGGAAATACAAGGTTAAGGAGAGAAATTGAGGTGCTTTTGTATGATCTTTTGCAACACATTTAACTGCAAATACAGTATTTTTTTTTGTGTTTACCCTTGGTTTTGAAATATTCAAAAGATTCTTTAGCCATCCAACATTCTTCCTGCCACAGTACAAATTTTAAATATACTATACTTTGCAAAATACTTGCTAAGGAGATAGATATCAAAGAGCTCTGCCCTTTTCCCACCCTTTCCATAATATTCTCCTCATTTACAGGAGTGGTAATGAAGAAAAGCTGATGGCTTTATTGACTCCTTTAAATGTGAACTGCCATGCAAGTGATGGGCGTAAGGTAAGTTAATACCTGCTTTATATTTCAATTATTTAAGAAAGGCCAATTTAAGCATACTGGTAAGCATAGATGTATAAACCAGGAGGGTGTATGTGGGGGGGGAACCTGTGATGCCTTTTCACCATAAAATTAAACATTGGTATACTTGACACTGGCAGCTGTGACAGATTAAGTCGGCAGACGTGGGTTTTGTCTGTGTCATTCAAGTATCAAACACTGGTCTACATGTAAACAAAACTTTAAGACCTTTTGTAAGAAAAACAAAATGTACTGTTGCAGATGGAGAAAATGACTAAAGGAGGAAAGTTATTATTTGTATTTGAACATTGTCTGGGTGAGGTGCTTGGTATTCAGCTTAGCTCCTAATACACTGCCACATAGACTGGCACTGTATTGCTATGTTTAACACCTTCTGCATTTTTTTAAATTTGACATTATTGTTTTGACTTTTTCTGGCAGGGATATTTGAATGAGTTAAATTAAGAATTAGGCTGAAACTGGAGGAGGGAAGAACATACGGAGTGAGAAGCAGATCCTATCATTTTTGATGGTTTAAATTTTGAGATGATAGTCTGTCTAGACTGTTGATTTACAAATGTTGGGGGTTTTTTGTTTGTTTGATTTTTTTGGGGTTTTTTTTTTGTATTTTTTAACTGTACCAGAATGTTTTTAATATGTATCTGTTAAAGTGTTTCACCTGTAACAGTACATCTCATTTTTGGAGAGAAAAGCATGGGAGTGTTTTCTTTTCTATTTTTTTTTTTAAATTTTTGATGTGGTGTGTTAGAGCATAGTATGAACCTCTGCCCATCCTGGACCTGTTGTGGAACAGCCCAGTTCTACTGAAATCAGTAAAGATAGGTTAATTTACACTTTTGGTTAAAAGGTATGTTGTTACTGAATATAAAAAAAAAAATACAGCTCCATTGTACAAAAATTCCTGGTTTTTATACACCTTTTTAAATGTTTCTCAGTTGTAATGGCTATCATACATGCTATGTGATGGAAAACCCAGCCACTTTTTTGCTTATTTACATTTATCACTGATTGAAAGTTGATGCATCTTCCAGGTTTTGAAAGCAATTGATTTTATGAACTGAGGACAGGCAATTGAGCAAGGGTTTTATTTAATTTAGCAGTGTTGAAAATGATGAAATACTCTCCACATTTTAAGATTAAAAATATTGCCCATATTTCTTGAATTTCCTTTTCTTATTTTAAGACTTTGCTGTTCAAGTAAAAATGTATTTAGGTATTAATAGTGTCCTCTGTTATAATTAAATGGGGTGGTGTAGAGCAGTGCATTACTGAATAATTCAGCCCCCATCGCTATTGATCTAAGGCCAAATGCAGAGTTATGACTTCTGTCAGCAGGGCAAAGAATGAGCCCTTGCAGATGTTTTCTTGAACATTTATCACTTCAAAGTAAAAATTAAAAAAAAAAAAGACGAACATCTAAAATTCATATTGAGATAGCAGAAATTGAGATAGCAGCCTCTGAATTCGTTAGGAAATTTGTGCCCAAAGCTTGGAAAGCATATTGCAGTTAAAGTTCCTGTGTGTGGAGACTTTGAAAATATGTTTGGTTGGTTGGTTTTTGGTAAGTGCACTGGTTTTTGAAACACCTTTTAAGATGCCTTGCCATTGATATTAATTAGCTTTTTAAAAATTATATCTACCAGATCTATTTTTTCTACCACCACATATGTACAGGAAGGTTGGAAAAACCTTTCTCTAAACATATGGAAGGTTTACTAATGCTTTGTAGTAAGCATGCTATATAACTGTTAAGTATTTAATTTGTAAAGCAAAGTGCTCAGGTCCTGTTCTAGTGCAAGATCACTTGGGGTTTGATCATTTTAAGCTGTGCTGCAAATTAACTGAGCTTGTCAGTGGAAGTCTCCACTGGTGTAGCTGCCTGTAGTTGATCTGTGGTGATTTACACTGACTGAGGATTTGTCCATTTTGGAAGTTGCTTTTTGCATTTCTTGATGCCTTTAGTAATTGTTTTGCAGATCTTTTGAGCATTCAAGCCTCAAGCTTAGGACAGTATAAGGCCACAGTTTGAATGCAGCTCTCAGGCCAGGAATGCAGACTCTGCGGATTGGCCCGAGATTCTCAGCATCATGCTTGTTCTGCAGTACAGCTGTACCCACAAACTCTTCCCTCAGTCTGCTTACCTCTTTCTTCAGGCTGTGCATTCCTTGATTTTCTGAGATGACCAGCTCTAGTCTAGTGATAAGGGAACACTTGCTGTGTGGGTGAAGAAATTGGGTTCCGGTACTGAATGGGTAATTATTTTTTCTGGATTAGTTGATGCTGATATTTTTTCATCATACTTTGGGGTGCAAGTGTATGCAGTTTAGTTTTTTCCCCCTGGAGGATTTCTCTCATGCATACTGACATCTGGGGTTCTGGATTTCTCAGACACCACGTGTGCTATGAAGTTGTGTTTTATAGAATGGGTAAAAGGAGTGGAAAACTCTGACAGTATCTTGCTGGTTTGAAACCAGCTAAGGTTGGAAATAAAAAAGATTTATTGCATTCTGGGTGCTGCTTGCAGCCTTTTTGAAAAGTATTGACAGCCAGAGTCTGATTCCTACTAGACAGGATTCCATGATTCTAAAACAGTTACATCTGGTGCTGATAACCATTGCTCCATCTGTTTATTTAGGATAGAGGTCAAGACAAATAGGAATGAAAACTGAACTTCCTTCTTGCCCTCCAAAGTCACAGTTTGGGTAGGTTATAGTCATTGTAGAAATGTTAACATTACTGAAGCTTTTGAGCTGCTCTCTGAAGAGGGAATATATTGTGTGACTTCTCTTGCCATTATCTTCTGGAGGGAAAAATGAATTAGTGTGCAAAACAAAGAGAAATTTTAAACATCACCTGAAGTCTTCCTGCATACCAAGTATCATGGTGGTTTTTGGGAGTTTTGATGACCAAAGAAAATCAGCAATAATCATCTCAGGAACTGCAATTTCATTAAGCTAGGTAATGATTGATTTTTGTGCAAGTACTGGCTTATGTGCATATTCAGTGTCTGTCAGGGCACAAATAATGAGCTGTATAGTGCAGAGCTATATGGTGCTATGTAAGCAAATTAGTATTACACAAGGGTAAATTTTACAAAACTTGTTTTTTAAAAACTGTCTTATTTGTTTACTTTTTAAAAAGCAATGCTGGAGCTGAAATATAATAGTGATTTTCATGGCAATTAGTCCTGCTTTGATGTTGGTGTTTTTTAACAGGAGACTGGAAATTTGCAGTTGTTAGGATGTGGTGTTGTAAGGCAACATTTACATGTTGCATCATTTCTGTTCACATTGTCTCACCAAGCATCAGAACAGAACTTAGACACAGTGCACATCACCTGCCTATTGCTGTGGGTCTGAAATTTCCCTGCATCCCAGCCTGTGCGTTCTGCTGGTCTCCTTGGTCTTCACATTATCTGTAGAAGTAATGACTTCTAGAAGACAAGCCCATGGTGTTGATGTTAGCAGATGGTAATGAATTTCACACTGTTAAGAAGCCAAGGCATTTATTTATGTGTCTATATACGTAAAGGTGTGTCAGTTTTAGAGCCCCTGTTATTTTCCCTCAAATATTTTCCTCTGGGGTTGTCTTTTTCAAGGCTTAGTTATGAGTTAATTTCCAAAAAATTATTTTTGACCATTTTAAATCACCAGGTTCCTCTGCTGGAAATTAACGCTGTATTACTTCATCATGGAAGCTGGATTTCTGACTTGTTACAACAGCCTCTGCTTACCTAAATCAGCGGCAAGAGACAGGTTTAAAATTGCACATACAGTGTTTGCAGGTTGAGTAGAAGCACTTAGTCCACTTATTTCCTTCAGGAAGCTGATGTGAACACTTGAAAGCTGTTTAAGGAAGAAATTGATGATGCCTCCATTTTAAAAATGCAGAAGTATCTGACCTGATAAGAAAGGATTGGTTTCAGCAATTCAGATAAGAACTCTTTTCTACAAGACACTTCCCCTGTGACTAATCATAGCTTTCCAAAGTGATCTGCATCCAGCTGACATGGTAGCTATTAGCAATAGGAGGTTGGATTTTTGGCTGTACATGATATCCTGCTCCTACACTACATTATACACTCTCAGATCATGCTGGCACTAAAATACTCAGGTGTTGGTTGAATAAAACCTTTTCTTATGCAAGGGAATCCTAGGGAACTCCTCTATTTAGGAGTTACCCAAAAACCAATTCATTGGGTGGTCTTCTCAAGGTGCACCCCTTGAAGCAGAGCAAATATCTAATATTTTGAGCTCTTAGGACCATAGAAAAGTCCTTAACTGAAAAATAAAATGCTTGCTTTGTACTTTGAAGTAAAGTTTCTGTTGCAGCTGTGTTTTGTATTTACATTTTGTATCAACCATATGAAAAACAGAGAATACAATGGCATAACCCATGACAGTGTGATCTCAGGTATTAGTTCAACTTGAAGCAGGAATTGCTACCAAAAGGCAGCACAGAATGCAGTTCCTCCACAGCTACATTGTTTTCTGTCCTGCACCTTCCCTCCCCACTTCCTTCTTTGGAAACTAGAAATGTCATTTTTGCAACAGCTGAATCAGGGATCCTGCAAACAACACACCTCAGTTTTTCCTTGCATGGGAGCATCCAGTACTGTAGATAATGTAGTGATCCCATGGGAAAAAAATAGGCAATTAATTAAAATGCCATTTCTATCATGCATGTGGTCACACCTCACTTATTTGCACTGTTGTCTTCTGACTTGTAGTGTCCTTTTGTTTATTCCCAGTTTTCAGTCCTTAAGAGCTCCCAGTACCAGTCTTTGGTATTTTACTTCTGCATTGCCTTTGTGGTTACACCTTTCCAAACTTGCTGTAGAGGACCCTGGATCCAGAATACCAGTACAGGCATTTTCATTAAACTTTGTGAGTCACAGGAGACATACTTGCCTCTTGGGTTTGACAGAGGCTGTTGCTTCAGCCTGTTCTTTCCTGCCATAG